AGAGGGTTTTCTTAAGAGTCCACCAGGTCGCCTCGCCCATATGTTCTGTAACCACAGTTTCATTCCAGCTTCGTCCATCCAGCCTTTCGGATGAACATGAACAATTATGCCCATCGGAAGTTTTTGTTTCGGATGAGTTTTTCTTTTGAATATGTGGTTGTGAATGGCGGTAGTTTTGTGCCATCAGCACAACATGTTAGAACCACCGTATATCGGGTTCTTTCATGACCATTTTTTATGGTCATTGATTTAGACCTTTTAATACTCAGTCTTGTTGGGTGGTACATCAAATGTGAGTGGAATTTCATCCATATTTGCTATTTGACAGAACTCAAAAGAAGTTTTCTTGTGTGCATTTATAGCAAACATATGAAATGCTAGTATTTTTTCTTCATAATCTGCTGGCATTTTCTGTGCAATAGTTGTTTCTGTGCACATTGATAAGCCCTGCCTTTTTCATGAACCTGTAGCACCAGCCCTCAGACCCTGAAAAGTTCTGATTCCCATGTTTTTCTGCAAATCCTTTGGCCTCATTGATTATCATTTCAATTGAAACACTTAACCTAGATTTCCTCTAATCTATCACCCACATTTTTACTGCATTTTCAAGATCAGGCCAAGAGGGAGCTGGGCATCAAAGGTTATGTTTTTGATTTTTAGAAGTCTTCAGTTGATCTTCCTGCAGTCGCCAAGTACACATCATTCTTTTGTTAGGTGGTGGACTGAAATGCCTTGCTGCTGCTCTGTTTCCATGCACTTTGGTGTAGTTTAACACTCGTAGTTTATACTGAATTGTATAGCTTAATCCCTTGTTTCCTATAGTCATATTTTCCAGGGTATTTTTTTAAACAAATAGTTTTAAGCACCGATACCGACACGTTTATGCAGAGTAGCACCGATACCGACACATGTGTCGGCTGAATCAAAGAAAGTCTATGTAAAGAAGGAAAAGCTTCATAGACGTAATGTGACCATCGAACCTGTTCGAACTTCGACATCAGGTTCGAGCTTTGGTGCTTTTTGGTGACAGATATTTCACGTATGCGCAAAAAAATTATGGCAGATATAGAAAAAGTTATGTGTGTCTAGACCTTTATCCGGGCTAAAAATAGCATTCAGTATTGAAAGTTAACCTGTGTCCTTCGCGTATAAGACGCAGGTAACTTTTTTTAGACCAAATTTAGGAAAAAAAGGGCATCTTATATGCCGTCAAATACGGTACATTTTGGTGAGATTCCATGGTGGCCCTTTGGTGCATTCGAGAATGGAGGGAGTGGTCTATTTTTGTCTCAAATAGAGTAAAGGAGATCTACCAGCTAACCTCACTAAAAAATTGGAGACATGTTCTGGCTGTAATGAAATGTTGCTAATGTTATTGCTCGAGGAAGTTTACCAGAAAAGTTAACCAAAACTCAATGGTGGGAAGTTCCATCATGGATCTTAGGAAATTCTGAGAAATAGCTAGCTAGTAAAATACTTTTTAAAAGAGAAGTAGATGAAGAAAAAAGAAAACTTTCACTGAGCTTTATTAATTTTTCTTAAGAAAGTACACCATTTCATATAAGGAGATTTTCTATATATTGATCCATTATTCATCTTGTAACCTGGATGTTATGTATTGTAGATAATGAGTGCAGTGAACCTAAAGATAGAAAATTCTCAGAACTTTAATCACTGAAGAGAGAACATACAGAAGAGGTTCTAATTAGAAGAATTCAATCTGAATATTACCCTGTATCTAATAATGTGCCTATCTGTAACGTATTTAACCCTTTGACACGCGCGATATTATTTTTATAAATTTTTAACTAAAAACTCTAGAAATTGAATATTATGAACCTAGAGATAAATAATATATGAATTAAAAAAAATCTACTCTTCCCCATTGTTTTGTGGGTGGTGGTCGCACTGTGAAACCATCGCGCGTCTAGGACTTTGAAACTTACCTAGGTAGTAGGAAAGAAAACTTACCTTTTTTTGTGCGCGTTTCCAATAAATGACGAAATTTACGAATTTTTTTTAAAAAAATGCCTGTAAAAATTGCATAATATATATTTTTTACATTATTTTACAAACTAAATCATCAGAAAAAATTTAAAAATAAACATTTATGTAATTTTTTTATAGCAGTGAAAGTATAAGTATCTACATAATAAGGACGTTTGGCTACATGGATTAAAAAACTCAGTAAAATAAGAATAAAAAAAAGACTAAGTTTTTTTTTTTTTAATTTTAAAGAACAAATATTTTTTGTGTTCAAAGCATGTTTGTCTTTTTGGTACATGCATAGACCCACATTGCAGTTTCACACATGCATCTTCTTCTATGATGTTTCTTCCTTGTGCTACAAAATGTACACTGATTGGATCTAAATTTCACTCGTATATGTCCAGCGTTATTTAGTTTCTTTTCATCTGGCACATGAAATTTGTGGGTTTTTTTTAGGTTAATGCGGGAAGGGGCTTGGTCGTTTCGGCTTTGGTACAGATTATTGTTTCCCATTCATTCTTATTTTATTCATATTTCGTCTCAAAATATTCAGAAAATATTTTAAATTTAAATAAAACTTTATGCGATTTCTATTTCTAATTGCAGCAAAGTATATTTACATTAAATTTAAACCACAGGAAATAATTTATAAAATCACAATACTAGCTTGGGGAGCAAGTGTGTTGAGGTCAGAGAAAAGTCTCTGGAAAAGAAAGACCTTTTTACTGGGCAGGTACATGTATTGTTTAGTAATAAAATAACTCTGTGATTTCAAAACCCCTTATTTATATCCGGGTAAAAATAAACATCCCTATTTGAGAAGCAAGCAAACGCCATTGTGAAGAGCAGTGGTTTCAAGGCGCGACCACCGAGCCTCTAGAGCATTGTGACACAATGCTCTACTGGGGCAGTAGTCGTGCCCTGAACCCACAAAGCAGATGCCATACATATAGAGGGGTTTTTTTATATATGCAGTTTAATTACTGCTATTTTTTATTGTTTATGATAGAAATTATGATGTGCGATGAATAACTTTTGAAATTTAAAGTTATTTATATAAATAAAGGGAAGTTATTTTGTCTTACAGAAAACGAATTTTAAAAGGCATCCGATTTGAAGTATTAAGACCTAAAACATGTATGATTCTGTAGTCATTTTGTGTTATTTAGAGGTAAAAGATCAGTAATCAATTGATTTTCACTCAAAAATTTCGGAAGGAAGAGGAGAAAAAAAAATTTGAAAATTGGTGGTTTCAGGGTGCGATCACCGCTTGTTAAAAGGTTAAAGATGAAGCCGCACTCATTAGAATTAAAATACGAATAACCGAACATAATGATTCCCAATCCTTTATCTTGCCCAAATCATTGCCAGGCAAATGTATTTTTACTCAAAGATTAACTGAACATTTTCATGAGATGAACTGTCATGCAGGAACGCAGATTCTATTAAGTATTTTACGTGAAAAATTTGGGATTGTCAGAGGTAGAAGAACTTTTCGTAGTATAAAAAACTGTATTAAATGTAAACATTATAATTTCAAAAGTCCAAAGTCCAATTACATACATATCAGAGGACTCTGATGTTTAGTTTCTCTTACTCAGGCTATATCGTAAACTTATTCAATATCACAGTAAGCTCTTAAAGGAATTAAAAATGCATTTTTGCAAAGAGTATCTTGGCTTATAAATTTAACATCAAGGCCAGAAACATTGTTTCAATGCAAAATTAGGTGATACAGTTCTCATTGAAGATGATTTTAAAAAATATCTTAATAGGCTTCTGGCCAAATTTATAGAACTTATACCTTGAAAAGACGGTAAAGTGTGAACTCAATGCAATTTTTTAATCAGACCTATCCAGAGAATTTTTCCTTTGGAGATATCCTTTAATAAATTTATAGATTCTCTTTTACAGGTTAAAGACAGTGATACCGACCAGAGTGAAAGTGTTCTGGAATCGATGTTGAATGCTACTAGGCCTTCTTCCAGCTGTACAGACCATCCAATCTGGAAGAATCTTTTAAGTGGCTCATCGCCTTGACCTGTTTAATATCTCAGAAGAGTTTTGAGCCTCCTGCAATAGCCGTAGACTCAAAAGGGGGGAGGATGTTGAAAATCATCTTTGGTCTCAATGGATGAATTTTCCAACAGTGAAGAGATGATGTTGTTGTCTTTGGATTCTTTTGTGGTTGTGGTCAAGAGTATGCGACACAGCTACGTTAGGTTTGGTCCCTTGAACTTCATAATTCCTTATGATATTAATTAAATGTAATTTAATTGTTAAATGGATTTTTAGTCACTTATTTAAATTACTCAACAGCCATTAAGCATCAGTTAGAATTGCGCGAACTCCTTTAGAATAGTTCGATCCCTACATATAGAACTTGCCTACCTAGTCAGTTAGCTGAATTATTGAAATATATCACAGCCCTCCTCTCAATAAAAATAGTTGCATGCTGATCTGCTTTGGATGCATCTGGAGCAATATATCAATAAGTGCAGTATAAATTCTATGCATAAACTTGAGCAAAAATACCTTACTAACTTAGAGCATGATAAAAAATGTTAACATCATCTCAAAGTAAAGACTGCATGGCCTACATGATAGAAGGCTGTACATATGATACACTTAACTGAAACACTTAAATGGAAATTTCTGTCATCCCCATTTAAAAATGTAGTTTCATACATTTATTTGGAAGATTTTTATTATTAACCCTCCGAGCATTACGGGTTAAGCCCTGAAATTTCATAGTTCCTCAAAATGTCATGAATAAATAATATTTTCTTGATTATAATTAAAAAATGACTCAATCACTTTGTACTTTGATTCCTTTTCTTCCAATATACATCCAACCAGAAATGAGATACATTAAAAGATGGGATAAATTTTCAGGTGTATATGACAGCCATGTGTCTGTATGAAATTTTCCATCTGTAAGGCTTGAGAGGGTTAAGAAAAAGATCAATATTAAAACAAAATTTATAAAGTATACTGAAAACATAACTTACAAACTTGTACATTACTTTCCTTGGCACGATAGCATCTAGACAGACAGCAGCTTTTGACCTGAAAAATATACCTCACATATATTCTCATTTACATTTTCTATGGAAGTATAAAAATATAAATTAAAATTACAGAAAAATATACAAAGTTGTAATAGAATTTGCTTATTCAATGCTTTATGTTCGCACATTAAAAGAATCTTTGTAGGCCATTACACGTGAGGCAGCATTATGCTTTTCATATCCCAATGGTTCTTTGTGAAATCTAAATAAGACTGCTTTTGCGTTTTGGACTGCTAAGACTGCCAAACTTTATTTATTTATTTGATTTTTTTGCTTGTTGATGCTGTTCCAATAATAATTATCTGAATCCTGCAACACATGACAAAGCAATTGAACCAAATGAAAGAAAGATGTTGCTCAATACTACCAAATTTGAGATACCAGCAAATGCTGAAAATAAAGCTTGGGATCTTATAGAAGAACCCCAAAATGCTAAGGAAAGAAACTCAGTTCTGTGCAGCAATATCAGCCAAAGCTAAACTCACACAGCACTTACTAATTAGGTTGAAGCTTTTACTTGTTGCATATTGTACTATTAAAATAGTAATGGCAACTACAGCAAATAAAACATGCAACTAAAGTAATCTGATATCAAAACTACATTCTTAAGTGGTAAACTTGTGGAGAAATTAATTATGCACGAACCAGAAAAGTTCAGAAAAAATACTTGTAAAATTTGTAATGTGAAAAACAGTCTCTAAGGACTCCAACAAATACCAAAATACTGGAATCCATGCTTTGACTTTAAAAAAAAATGAAGAACTAGAAAACAGGTAATACTGAATCCTCGCCTGTTTTAGAGCACATGATAAGAAACTGATGTAAAGTGCTGGAATTGACCAAGAGCGACGAAATTTTCTCTCGGCTGAAAACACAGCAGATACTTATAGTCATTAACTAAGATGTTTTATTTCATACTACAACACTTTTACTAATTTAGAAGCCTTACAGTAGTTACTCAGAAATGTTTTTTCTTAATATTATAACAGGTCTCATTATTATGGACACATACAAAGACCCAATTCTAAAACCGATACTAATAAATATTGATATGCAACATACACCCACCTTTCGTCTTGTACATCTAGATATTACAAGATAAAATTGATGTATTCCTTAAAAACTGTAATCTACACTGTATAACTTATAAATTCAGTCTTTTGGGTTGCTTTATCTATCATTTACTTCGGGTATTATTTCAGGACTCGAAACAATTCCATCACTGCATACTGTTGGGTTTGAAGGATACGGTTTCAGATCATCATGACTGAGTAATGAATCTCCTCTATTCCTTTGTAATCTGGGCCCTGAGCTTCCAGCTTTGTCCTGAAGGGCTAAATCTGATGATGCAATCTCGAAAGGATATAACTGCAGAAGGGGGTGGATAATTTCTTCTATACTTGCCAATTTTAGTCAGGCTACATACTACTTTTGATCTCGTCCTGTAAATAATTTTATCACTCTAGCTAAAGGCCAGTTAATACTTTTGCAGCTGTCAAGATTCCACAACAACATCTCCTATTTGAATATTACCTCTTTGCTTAAAACTTTGATTCCTTATAAGCTCACACAGAAATGCTCTTTTGAGCATCTCTTTCAAAAACTATCTCAAACAAATATTGTATTCTTTTCTCAAATGACTTTCATTCATTGTATCAAAATCAGGAGTATCACAATTAGCAGAATTTGGAGTTTCACGTAAGAAATAAATTCATATGCTGGTGTTAATGATAATGGTGCCTCTGGATTCTCCAACAAAAAAGTTACTGATTGAATTCTCACAATCACATAAAACCATCAACATTTCCTAGCAATTTAGACTAGTTCTGCCAAAAATTCCTTTCAGCAGCTCTTTCATAGAGCATATCAAACATGCCCAGCATCCACCATACCACAGTGCACTTGGTGGGTTAAAATTCCATTTTATCTTCTTGTTTTCTACTGACTGTGCTCTCTGAATCAACAAGATAAGTAAATTTTTGGCCCTTTCTATTTCATCACTAGTTATAGTGATGTTTGGCTTCACTTTCCTTAAGTAGTCACAAAAATCTAATTATCCAAACAATCGTGTGAAATAGTTCAGAATAGTTAAAGAAATACAACAATCAATAATTAAATTTCTCTGTTCCTTGGATACTTCTCTGAAAAAATTCTAAAGAAGTAAATTAAAATTGTAGTCTTACATCCTCATAATTCTAATAAACTCCTAACAACTGGAGTTCTTTATAATTATGCCATAATACTGCTTAAAGGTAAATAATACAGAGAAGAATTTTAATACATGAAATACAAGTCAAATTAAAATGCCTCAGAAGTGAAAATTAGACATACACAAAATTACCAAACTTATGTCACAGATAACGGCTTTCTCGCTCATGCAAAATATTCTTTCACATTAGAACTACAAATTCTTCAAATAAGTGCAATTACAGTTTGCCCATAGGAAATAAATTCATATGTTAACAACTATAGACAAATATATTTATGATTTTAATGCTAGACAAAATTTAACATTTTATTATTAATCACAAGGTCTTAATGATACGAGGGCCATCCAGGAAGTAGATTACGTTTCCGTCTGTGTCCGCTAGGGGCGGGGCTAGCGCGGCCATCTTGGGGTCAGAGCGTTGCGCAGCTCAGTCTGCATCTAGCCGTGCTAGTGAGAGGTTCGTGCTGTGCTCCGTTCAGATACTGTGACGGTTTGAAATGTCTGCGTTAATTGAAAATCCCGCGAGGTGCGCTCAGTAATAAGGTTTCTGACTGCAAAAAACTGTAAACCGATAGAAATCTATCGGCAGCTTCGTGAAGTGTATGGGGACAACATTATCACTGAAGGTGGAGTGCGTCAGAGGGTCATAAGATTTCAAAATGGCCGAACCAATGTTCACGACGAAGATCGAAGTGGGAGACCCAGCATAGTGACCGCCGAACTTCTCGAAAAAGTCGATGCTAAAGTCCGTGAAAATCGAAATTTCACAATAACGGAACTTTCTTTGAGTTTTCCACAAATTTCGCGAAGTTTGTTGCACGAAAATCATCAGCGAAAAGCTTGGTTACCACAAGTTTTGTGCAAGATGGAAGGCAAAAGAGAGGTAACGAAGTGGTTGAAGGCGCAGGCGGCCGAATTTTTCGACGAAGGAATTTCCAAGCTCGTACATCGCTACGATAAATGCCTTAATTTGTATGGTGACTATGTAGAAAAGTAGTATTTGAGTGTGGCTTTCATCTGTATATAATAAAATTTGTTTCCTATACTTTGTTTATTTTTTTATTCCAAAACGTAATCTACTTTCTGGATAGCCCTCGTATATATAGTGTTTCAGTAAATTTGGTGACACACTTTCAGGAGAGATAGATATAGTACACCTAGATGATGGAAAATCATATAGCAATGCATGGTCGAAGGGGATTTCCTGGTGCAGTAGTAACAACACAAAACACAGAAAAAGAAGAACATGAACAGGATGAGGAAACATGTTTATTATGCTTAAAACAGCAGAAATCAAGAAATAAGAACAAAAATAGACAACAATCATCAGCAAAGGAATGTGTTTCAAATTACGACCCCGGACAGTGATGCAGGCCTTGCATCTCCGACATATAGAAGATCTGATGTTCTGGAAAATACCAGGCATGTTCTAGACTTTCCCCAGTAGCTGCCACAATTCATGCAACTAGTTCCTCAGCACGTACCATCAGATGAAGTAGCCAACGCAAGTGTGGTGTGGCGATCTTGCTAGCCAATGCACTGGACCCTCCCTGCTGATCCAATGTTGAGATTATGTTTGGAACTCCTTCTTTGATGATGATCATCTGTTTTTGTTCTTATTTCTTAGTTTCCGTTGCAATGAGAATAATAAATATATATTCTCACCCTGTTTGTGTCCTTCTTTTCTTGTGTTTGGAGTAGTAAATACCATGCCAGGAATGCATTTCCAACCATGCATTGTTTTACGTTTTTCCATCGTCTAGGTGTACTAGAAAAAGCATGGCATCTGTGTTTTGAGATAGGCACAGTGTTTTGTTGGTTGACATCAAGCAACGTGGAGCCACCATAAATGTGGTAGCCTACTGCCAAACCCAGCAAAAGCTATGTAGAGCGATTCAAAACAAAAGGCGCAGCATGCTGATAAAAGAAATTTTGCTAGTCCATGACATTGCAAGGCCTCACACCGCATCTCAGACCCGAGCATTATTGGACTCTTTTGGCTGGGAAGTTTTGGATCACCCCCACTACAGCCCAGACCTTGCATCAAGAGATTTTCATCTTTTCAGCTATCTCAAACATAATCTCAGCAGCAACCACTACAACGATGATGAAGACATGAAAACGGCTCTGACCTCTTGGTTATTGGAGCAAGCGGCAAATTTCTATGACAAAGGTATACAAAATCTAGTTCTAAGGTATGATAAGTGTTTAAACAAACTTGGCAACTATGTTGAAAAATAGAGAGATGTGTGCAGAATCTGAAAATAAAATTGGTTTTTTAAAAATTTCTTTCATTTGGTTTTTATTTTCAAATGGCAGTAAAAAAATCTCTCGTATATATCTCATTATATACACACACACACACGCAATTTATTTTTAACCCAAAAAAAAAAAAGATGACCAGTAAGATCAGACACATGTAATGTGTACCAGAAACATAAGTGATTAACTTTTCGTGTTCAAAAGAAAACTGATGTGAGGGGAAGGAGAAGGGAATTGTTTAATGAAATTTAAAGCATACACCAACAAAAATAAACCAAAACTTAAAAAACATGCAATAGAAAATGTAGTAATAAAAATAATAAAACATCTGAATAGTAATATAGTAAATGGAATGAGAATAAAACATCTGAATAATAACAAAGTAAAAGTAATAAAAACAGAACATCTGAATAACCTGCTTGTATCAAGAGAGACAGGTTCCCTTGCTGCTTCTTCCAATTCCTTTTGCAACTTAGCTTGTTTCTTCCTAAAGAATACAAATTATTAATATATGTTAACAAACTGTAAACAAAAAATGTACATAGACATATTTAAAGTCAGGTCTTTTGATTTACAGATTCAGGGCAAAAATACCGGCAAAACCATAAACATATACAACTAATGGCACGGGATACATTTAATTCTACAAAAAGAATATTCATACAACCTATACTATCTATTATTCATTATCCTTAATACTTTCTTCAGTGCAATAAAATGATAATTACCATTATTTACTTGATCAAGAATTATAATTGAGAAACATGATATGACAGGAAATTAAATTTTCCCCAAATATTTTAAACTGACTTGTTAACTGATACCAAAAGGATGATCACATAGTTAGGAATCAGAAGAGGGAAGCAAGCCCATTTCATCCTATTTTTTTTTTTCTTTATTCATGCAACATATAATCTGCATTTCAAACTTGAATATTCTACATAAACGCAAGATACGTTGTATGCATAAACACAAAGTAGAGGGGAAGATTACTAAATGTGCAACAAGTTAGTTACATTGAAAATGAATCCAGACTAATGAGAAATTAAACAATAGAGTGTTCATTGAATCAGAATACATTTAATGTAATTAACATTCAACTATCATCATTTTGACAGCTTCACATTTATTTTTTAGTACTGTCTTTATTTGTGTGCTCAGGAATGCTGAAATTTCATGACTTTTCCAAACTTCATGTAATATTGGCTTCAGAAAACTATATTCAGTTACACAAAGAGAAAAAGGTTTTTTACAACTTCTCATTCTAGAGCAGGATTTCTCAACCAAGATTTATAGCTTCAGGGGGGATGAGGTCAGCCTTTTAATTAGCTGCTAAATATTTAGTTTTAGTTTATGAGTATAAAATACTACTTTTGTTCAAGTTTTAGTATTTATCAACATTTCTATACTTTTTCTCGTTTAATTTATACAACACATTAAAAAATAATCTAAATTTAAATAAATGTATATATATTTTTCTAGTAGGGAAAAGAAGGGGGTCTAACGATCTAGCAATGACGAAAAGGATGCATGACCCAAAAAAAGGATGAGAACGTAATGACTAGAGACTCATTTTGAATACTCATTTTAGGAAAACCAGCAAAATTGTTTAAAATATTTATACAAAATGTTTGTGCAGTTAAGTACTTTTGCACTGTGTTGTATTGCAAATAAAGGTATTAATGGCATATTTTGCAATATCTTTGATGTTGCAAAAGATTGCATCATATGGGCTTGTCTCTCTGTGTGCATGCATGTGTTTAAGACAACAATGTGCACATCAAACTTCAATGTTCGCCAGTCCCTTAACTCTTTATTTTATTTGGCTTCTTTCCCTTTCCATCCTAATAATAGTACTATTTGTAATAAACCTCACTGAACTGCATCATTTCAAAATTAGTGGCTGTCATATGAATCTTATATAACACTAGTGATGTAAGGATGTAAGCACTTGACAATGAAGGCTCAACCAATAATAACTCCATATTTAGGAACCAAACTTAACATTAACAAATACGGATAAGAAACAAACTAAATCGTTCTGACATCTTAGACATGTGATATTCCTGCTCTCACTTGCTGTATTTCTAATATGTTGCCATTTACCTGTCTTTCATCACTTGTATTGTCATAACAATGTAAAAAACCACAAATGTGATCAAGAGTGGATGCAAAAATCACACACTTTGCAACATGTTATTCAAGTAAAGAATGTGCTTCCCAAAAACTGTTTTGCCAAAAAATACATGTTCAAACAGCATCAACATGTAAATCATCAGACACATATATACTTAAGATAGCCAAAAAGGCATTTTCAGCAGCAAAATAAATTACTGGAATCTGGTGGAATAAAGCCATATGGAAGAAGAAACATGGAAAATGTAACAGTCATTAGTTCATTACAATTATTTATAGATGAACCAACATGAATAACAATAAAAGCACATAATGAACAGATGCTTGTCGGCACCTACTAGATGAGAGGCTGAACCCTTTTTTAGTTCTTTTGTACATTAAAGGAACAATCATCAAACGGCTCACATTACACACAATGCTAAAAAATGGCCTGAAAAATGTGACATTTTATAACTCTATATCGTGTAATGTTGACATTCTTGAAGAAATTATAAAAGAAAAAACTGACTGATTCTTGAAGAGATGATCCAGATCACGTAAAACTGTTCAGGGAAAGCAGGAAGCCTCAGATGGCCAATTCATAAATTCTACAATATTTTATATTTTGCTGCAGTCAATGCTTAGATTGTATACAAAGAAGATACAGATGCACAATTCCCAGAATGCAATATTTTACTGCAGCTTTCCGATTAATTTTGATAGAAACATATGACTACCAACTGTGCTTCATGTTCCATTCCACATGCATCTGGTCAGGAATTAAAATTTTCATGTACAGTGATAAACCGGAAAATAGAATAAAAGTAGCACTGATATACACTACAAATGAAGACAGAACATGTGAAAAAGTCATAAAAGTAATTTGCACTGACTGCAGTACATGAAAGTGAAAACTGTTAGAACCTTATCAATGAAACACAAAAATTATTTTTCTTAGCGGCAACACTATATGTATACACTTTGCTTCAAATTGATGTAATTTATAAATTTTACTTTGTCCACAATAACTATGTATAATTTCAGGAATATGTTCTCATGTGCTTAACTCAGGCTATACATCAATGCCAACATTACAAATAACTTTTTGTATCTCATTACCTGTGCTCATAAAAATATTGTTTTAAAATATGTAATGGTTTAATGTTTGTTAATGAAAAGTAATCCTGAATTTCAAATTTAGAACAAGTATTTATAAAAAAAAGGTAACTACATTACACTCTTTATTTTATGTAAATACATCAAGATGACAGCTTTAGAATTTAAGTAAGGAAAGAAAAATCATATCTTTCTAGAATTAAGTTCTGAGTTAGACAGTAAAACAGAACAATGTGAAATTACTCAAAGCAGTAAAATATCAGTTATCTCAGAAAAAGGAACACTTGCCCTAAATCTCTATAAACAGTGAACTCAAATGTTACATTAGAAGCTCTTCGGAAAAATCAAAGAAAAATAAAAGGCTCCACAGCAAGAATAATAAGAAAAGTGCTACAATGCGTTTCTTCTGAAATTTCACATGAATTTTTTTTTTCCAGTTTTAATTTTAGAGGTATACATACAAACTATAGTATGTTACTTTAAAAGAGGAACCACAAGGTTATTTTCTCCCACCCGATTTTCTTATTTCCATTCAGCACCACATTTTGCTTCATGAAAACTGCATGAATAAAGTCTCAAGTCAAGTTGAGATAGGGAAAGCAAGTGCTGTGCAATGACAACAACCAAGATGTGATTGCAAATGGGGAGGGTTTGCACTGGCCTTGAAGAGCCTGCTTAAAGTAAGAGATTATATTACATCAATGGGTATAACAGGACTGTAACAGTGCCATTAACATTCTTGTAGTAAAATTGACTATGATAACAGATAACAATGCAGTTCCAATAAAATTCAAAGAAGCCAGTGGTTCCCAAACTTTTCCAAGTTGCAGAGCCTTTTTTTAAATTAAAATTTTTCCATAGCGCCCTACTCTAAGTAAAAGTATGACTAATCATATGTAAGAAATTTAAAAAACAATAAAACTCGTGCATTTTCATTATTTAACTTTATTACTTTTTATAACATGAAACTAATAACCAATGTGATAGATGATCTTGCAAATCATAGTACATTTTTCTCTCAAATCATGGAAATATACTGGACACATCCATCCTCATTTCGTTTTGCATATTAAATTTTGCTATATACTTGCTTTTTATCACAGCAACTGCTGAAAACCAAGCTTCGCACAAATACGACACTGAAAATATAATTAAAATTCGCTGAGCCTCGTCACTTGGAAGGGAATATTTTACTAAAATCCTAAATTCTGTCAATTCCATGCTGAAAAAGTTTGCTTTCAAACTGTTGTCACAAGCTAACTCAATAAGATTCTCTTCTGCACAAGTAAATTCATATGAAATATACTACTATTAAATGTATCTTGAACCAGATATTTCTGAAATCAAATAATTAACTGTGATAAGTGCCTTCAAACTTGGTTTTTATATCCTAAGGAAGATCAAGTTCGTTTGACATCAAGATTTACTGCAACATTAAAATATAATCTTAGCTTACATTTTCATTCAATTTTCTTCTCCACGGTTTGAGTTTTTTTTTTTTTTTTTTTTTAAGAAGCTAGTTTTTTTTCTGTTGACTTCAAAAGATGTATGTTTTTTCCCTGCAGAGATAGATTACGAGAATTCATCTTTCCAGAAATGTTGCATAAATATGCCAGTTTTATTAAAACATCAGCACCAACAAAATCTTCTGCATCTTTGTAAAATTCTTGCCATGAGCAACATTACCATGAGAAAGCCATCGTGTACCGCCATAATACAACAAAGATGAGTGTTCGGCTCCCATGTTCTCACAGTTTTTAAAAAAGCCTTGTTTTCAATGGACTAAGTTATATAAAATTCACCATACATTCCAACACCTGATTCAATGCAGTACTCAGATGCTTTGGGGGTAACTGCGTCTCTGTAAATAACATGTGTCCACAGTGCATATGGTGATTTGCTTGGAATAAGAGTCTATAATCCTTAAGAGCATGCAGACATGGAGTAAGCTCCACACGTATAGACACCAACACACTTAAGCCAATTCAAATTATTTTCAGATATGAATGTATCAAGAAACTCGAACAGATTCTGAGCCTTCGTTCCTGTAGTAATATTTTTTTTTAAAAAGTTCTTTAATATTATTAAGATCTATAAACAGTACATAGCTTATCAAATGAGCACCCCTATTATTATCCATAGCCTCATCTAGCTGTAATCAAAATTCTACTCCTTTAATTTTTTCAATTAACTGAGCATTGATATCCTCCACCATATGTTATATTCTCTGAAAATATGTGTTACTGGACAAAGGCA